TTGTTATCAAATATTTTTTGTATGCTCTAATGATATGCAAGATGTTTCTGTCTAACTTTCTATATTTTCATACTTTAACGTCACTAATTCTGAAACCAGTATCGTATAACAAAGAAACATAGCATCCAAAGAACTTTATCATAAATTCCTCTTACTGTAAAATGTGTTAACATAGTGTGTATACTGAAAAGAGTGTTATAAAAAGACCAGTTTGAGTTAGAGAAATTTTTCCAGGTGACATATTTTGAAAATTAGGACTGAAGTGAGGGGAACAATCTCTTCAGCTCTGTTCTTTTCTATTTTCCCTAAAAGATCTTAGTTTCAATGATTTAAGACTGGCTGTTGTTATGAGTACTTTTTCAGTGCCATGATGTGCCTTTCTCATCCCAGCTTTGCAATAAGAGCTCAAAAGAATTATAGCTTAGGCTCAGAAAACTGAGTCAGAAGTAGCCTAAGGGTTGCATTTTGCATACCTCTTTTTTTCTGCTGTCAATGATCAATCCATTCAACAGATAAATCAACAGAGTCTGTGCCATGATCTAGGTAATAAATACATGTTTTTATGTATATTCACTCATAAAAGTATATTCACTCCTGTAAGTTATGCATTATTCCCATCTTATGAAAGTTGAAATTTAAGCTTAGAGAGGTTAGAGGGTGTATAAAAAGATCACAAAACTGGTGTATAATCATAGCAGCCTTTCTCACTTGTGATACAATTAAGGGAAATTAATTGTAATGTGAAACAAACAAACAAACAAACAAATAAATAGGAAAGCAAACAAACTGTTGCATTCGCTACAAATGGAAAGTGCTGGAACCAGGACTTATTTGTGGGTAATTAAGTTCTAGATGACATACTCATAAAAAATTATGTTTTTATTGATTTTTAGAGAGGAAGAGAGAGTGATAGAGAGATAGAAACATTGATTGACCATCTCCTATATGCCACCTACTGGGGATTGAGCACAATCCATGTGCCTTGACCGGGAATTGAACTGTTGACTTCTTGGTTCATGGGTTGACACTCAATCACTGAGCCACACTGGCTGGGCATAGACTCCATACTAGTAAGTACTGTATATTGTTTTTCAACATGAGGATTGCTCAGTATGGCAGCTAGTGTCCATTGACCAGATTACACTGTGCTGATTAACCAATGTTATAATCAATCATCACTGTATGTGGCAATACTGAACAGTGCATTTATTTAGTTATATATGTATTTAAGGAAATAGCGGTATTAGCTTTAAAAACTGCATGATCGTGTGTCATCAAAATAACTCTAAAAAATTCTGTGATTTATTGCTTTACTGGAGATTGACATCCTGTCTTTTAGTAAGTTTATTGTAACTAAATTTTCTTCCAGATTGGAACAGGTCACCATTTCTTGAGTTGTCACCAGATGGGTATCATTAAACCTTGGCATCACTTCTCTTGACAGGATGTGTATACCACAGAAAATTCACATCTGTATACCACAGAAAATTCATGTTCATTCCTGGGCACATTTTGTTGTGTGGAATGGTGGGTTGCACTATTTAAATATTTATATCTCTTTTGTTTTTTTCTCCTGAGTACATATGAATGCATTCCCATGTTATACAAGTAGGATGATGTTACTATACTGAATTTGCATATACATTTTCATAGTTACTTTGTTGTTCATTTTTGCATAAATGGGCTTTCCCCTAAGAGGTACCAATAGTTAATAACTTGGCCACATATTATTGCAGACATAATTTTATGTATTACTTACATGTGTATGTACCTATAGAAATATTTGATTTTCTGGTGCCTCCCTCTCCCATTAATGATTTCTTCCTATATATATTATTTATATACATATGTTTTTCTTTTTGTCATGTAAAGTTGCTATTTCTTTAGAATAGATGCATTGTATTCCTCAGATAGGATATGACATAATGTGTTAGAATTTTGTTTAAATACGTGGATAATAAATGAACATTTTATTTTAAATAATTCAAATATAATTAAATAATATAATCAAAATAAATTTAAAGCCGCATTGATCATGTTCCCTAATCCTAAGCTTTTCTCAAGTGATAAAAGTTAATATTTGGTTTATTGCACACCTATTTTGGGTATTCTGTGTATCTGTATGTTCCTAGAAATTTAATTACAAGAAAAAAAACTGAAAAACACATTCACATGGAGACTGAATAACATGTTACTGAACAATGAATTGGTTGTCAATGAGAGCAAGGAACACATTAAAAGATACCTTGAGAGATGTGAAAATGGAAACACAACCACCCAAAATCTATGGGACACAGTGAAAGCAGCTCTAAGAGGGAAATTTATAGCAATACTAGCCTACCTCAAGAAATAATAAAAATATCAAATAAAAAAAAGCCCAAAATAAAGAGAAGGAAGTAGCCAAAATTGATTTGGCTCACTGGATAGAGCGTCGGCCTGCGGACTGAAAGGTCCCAGATTCTATTCCGGTCAAGGGCATGTACCTTGGTTGTGGGCACATCCCCAGTAGGGGGTGTGCAAGAGGCAGCTGATCGATAATTCTCTCATCGATGTTTCTAACTATCTCCCTTCCTCTCTGTAAAAAAATCAATAAAATATATTTAAAAAAAGAGAAGGAAGGATATACAGATTAGATAATATAGATTAGAATTGAAATAAACAAAATAGAGTCTAAAAAAACAATACAAAATATCAGTGAAACCAAAAGCTGATTCTTTGAAAACATAAACAAGATTGACAAACCTTTAATCAGATTCATCAAGAAAAAAAGAGGACCCAAATAACTAAAAAAATCAAAAGTAACAGCTAACACCAGAGAAATAAAACGGATTATAAGAACATATGAATAACCATATGTCAACAAACCGGACAATCTGAAAGAAATGGATGGATTCCTAGTTACATATATTCTTCCAAAACTGAATCAAGAAGAAACAAAATTTGAACAGACTACAACTAATGAAACCAAAGCATTGATCAAATACTCCCAGCAAACAAATGTCCTGGACTTGATGGCTTCACTGGTGAATGCTACCAAAAATTTAAAGGAAAACTCACACTTATCCTCTAGCTAGCCAAAAAAATTCAAGAGTGGGGAAGACTTCCACAGGTCATTTTACAAGGCCAACATTATTCTAATTACAAAACCAGATAAGGAAACTACAAAGAAAGAAAATATAGGCCAATATCACTGATAAAAATAAATGCAAAAATCCTTAGCAAAATATTAGCAAACTGAATCCATCAATTCTTAAAAAGATCATATGCCATGATCAAGTGGAATTTATTCTGGGGATGCAAGGTTGATACAATATCCACAAATCAGTTATTGTGATGTATCACAAGTAAAATTAAGGATAATGATCATATGGCCAGTTTGCTCAGTGATTGGAGCATTGGCTCATGGACCAAAGGGTCTTGGGTTTGATTTCTGGTTGGGGTGTGTACTGGAGGCAGCCAAACGATGTGTCTTTCTTATATTGATGTTTCTCTCTCTCCCCTTTCCTATCTCCCTCTCTCCACTCTGTCTGAAAAATCAATGGAAAAAAATTCTTGGGTGAGGATTTAAAAAAAAAAAAAAAGATCATATGGTCATATCAATAGATGCAGAAAAAGTATTTGACAAATGCAACACCCATCTATAATAATCTATAATAATATCTATAATAATAAAAGGTTATATGCTAATTAGACTGAATATCCTTCTGGACCAAGCTGTGGAGAGGGGGGCTGAGGCAGAGGCAGCTGCTGTGGCTGCAGGGACCGAACCCTTTACACAAATTTCATGCACCGGGCCTCTAGTTTATGATAAAAACTCAGCAAAGTGGGACTAGAGAGGAACATATCTTAACATAATAAAGGCTATTATACAAGACAAACCCATAGTCAACATCATACTCAGCTGGAGGGGAAGGGTGGTGGAACCAAAAGTGTTCCCTTCAGATCAAAGAACAAGACAGGGTTGTTCACTTTCATCACTCCTATTAAACACTAGATGCCCGATGCACAAAATTCACGGCTGCTGGCACCCAAGACCGGACTTGCTTTCCTCTGGCCTCCAGCAGGCACCTGGGACCTGGGCTTTGCTCCGGCCCTGGCTTTGTCCAGAATGATGCTGGAAGGACATCCCATTTAATTAGCATATTATCCTTTTATTATTATAGACTAGAGGCTCGATGCACGATATTTGTGCAAAAATAGGCCTGCTTTCCCCTGGCTTCACTCCCAGCTGCCTGGGAGCTGGCACGTCTTCATTTCCCAGCCTCCCAGGAGCCAGCAAGTCCTTGCTTCTGTCCGGAGCCTTGCTCCAATAGCTCCCTCCGCAGCCCCCCTTCCCCTCACAGCAGGCGTCATGCCCCTCCTGGCCGCTCTGTATCTGAATATGCAAATTAACGTCCATTTTTGATTGGTTAATTTGCATACTCTGATTGGCTGTGGGCATAGCAGAGTGATAGTTAATTTGCATGTTTCTCTTTTATTAGGTAAGATAGTACTGGAAGTCCTAGCCTAAGCATTCAGAGACATTTTGTGATGATGTAAATATCTGTTCCTCATCAACTTTTGCCTTTGGGTTTATTTTATTCTATTTCTAGCCTGTCATGTTGAAAGCTTTATTTATTTAGACTTTCACTTTTTTTAAGTACTTAAAATTATACATTTTTAGTAATATATATTTTTGATATTCAACTGAGAGTACTTACAGTAGGGTTGGGAATGAAAGGAAATATTAGGTGTGGATATTGTTTATGCTTTTAGGAGACTGGTGGTTAGAGCCTGAACAGAGTATTTTAATGTTGCCCCAAATCACCCATGTCTTAACAAATGTTTTTAGTCTTGATTTAAATAACAGAAGATATTCATGATGATTGTGATTGTTATACCCATGAAGAATGATAAATTTTGAAATTAAAAAGTTGCTATTTTTTTTTTTAGTACCACTGGTACTTTGAGAGTTATTTAATATACAACTCCCTCAGATCATTTTTACTTTACCATTTCAGGAGCAGCAGCGGTGGCATGGCAGAATCCTATTTCAAGTTGGTTTACTGCTATGCTTCACTGTTTTGGTGGAGGAATTTTATCCAGTTTACTGCTTGCAGAGCCTCCATTGAGGTTTCTTACAAACAACACTAATATATTACTGGCATCTGCAATCTGGTAAGTTGCCTTTTGGTGAACTATTAGATATTTAAAACGTTGTTTTGTAAATGATTAGTCAATGGAGTTTTTTTCTTTAAAAATATTTTATGTTATTGAAAAATTAATGCATATGCAAAGGAAAGAGCTCAAATAATCCCAAAGGTTTTATGTGAAAAGTGTGTTTCTTTCTTACCCTTCTTCTCTCCTATCCTCTCCCAGAGTCAGTTATTGTTACCATTGTCTTAATGTATCTTCAGTGGAAGCATTTCAAATATGAAAGACCATCAGTTATTTGGCCCCAAATAGTTTATCCTATGAACGTAACCCATACACACGGACAAACCACAGGGGAAAATCAAGAATGCGGCCACTGTATTTCAAAGTCATACTCAGTTGGATTTTTGGGAGCCTTATCAGATTTAACATCGATTTGTTTTGAATATAGTTATGAAGTGAAGAAAAAGCAATCCAAATTGCTTTGGATTCTTACAACGCAAATTCATTATCTTGCTATCTTCTCTCTTGCTAACATTTCCTAGAAGCTCCATATTTTCTTTTTTTCAGACAGAATGAAATACTACCTCCCTTTCATGATTATCACATCATCTTTTATTTTTCTTTTTAGACTGATTACTACCTGACATATTATCTGTTCATTTTTTTTTTTATGTTAGTTTGTCTTACTCCCGTAGAATAACAGCCTACCAGAGCAGGGATTTAATTTGTTAACCAGAGGCCTACTGCACAAAATTTGTGTAAGAGTAGGCCTTCCTTCCCCTGCTGCTGGCATTGGTTTCCCTCTGGGACCAGGCTTCCCTCAGAGGGAGGCCCCATCCACCCGCCGCTGGTTGGTGGCCTGTGCCTTTCTCTTTGGGGCGATCGTGGGGTAATGGCTGGGTCCCCGACAAATTGCATCTCACCTGCCTTCCTTGGCTGCCCTGGCACCAGTGGGTGTCATAGCATTGTCGTGGATGGTCATCTGGATGGTTGTTCCACTGCGGCTGTTCAGTTGATTTGTATATTATACTTTTATTATATAGGATAGTGTACTAGGTACAGTTGTAGGTTCAGTAACTACATTGCTAAAGGAATGGATTTTTGTATGTTGTTAGTTAAGGGATTTCTGTATTTGAGTAGCAAGGAATTTTAGATCTTTGCTAGTTGATGGCTTCAATGAAATAAACTTGCTTTTCTAAAAATAATATTATTTCATGGCTTAAACTAAAGGTATGTTATACATGGAAAATAAGAAATGCATTTAAAAAATATAATTTGTATTGATTTGAGAAAGGAAAGGAGAGGGAAAGAGAGAAAGAAACATCAACGATGAGAGAGAATCATTGGTCAGCTGCCTCCTGCACTGTCCCACACTGGGGATCCTGCAACCTTGGGCATGTGCCCCTACCGGGAATAGAACCACGACCTCCTGGTTCATAGGTCAATGCTTAATCTCTTAGCCATGCCGCTGGGCAGAAATGCATTTTTATATAGTGAATTAATAGTATAGTGTTTAATTATTTGTTAATCTCACATCTTTGATTATCCCCCTTAACATAAGAGAACATTTAGACTTAGATTTTTTAGACTTAGTCACATGCATTTAGATTATGATTTAAAATTTTTTTTTTTTTTTTAATGAGTGAGAGAGGGAGAAGCATTGATGTGAGACAGAAACATCAATAAGTTGTCTCCTTCATGCCCTCTATTGGGGATCAAGCCTGCAACTTGGGCATGTGCCCTGATTGGTAATTGAACCAGCAACAACCATATTATAGTTTTCCATACTATATGCATTCTTCTTAATCCTTACTTAGTCTTAGATTCATATCTAACTGTGTATTTAATGCTTATCACCAATCCTTATGTCTTTGTCTCTCTAGTAACTTTGGTTGTCCAAAGCTTATTCTCTAGTTGGTTCATCAAGTACAGTAGTCCCTAAATTTTCACATATCCATAAGTTTTTATCTTTTATACTTGAAAGTGAATTTTACTGGATAAAAGTCATTGGAACACATTTTCTATCTTTGAATACTTTAAATGTTACTCTGTTTTCTTAAAAAATCTGATGATCATTTAATTTTCTTTCCCTTATAAGTCACATGCTTTTTTTTCTAGGTGCCCAAAAGATTCCCCTCCAAGTCTAGTAATATTTTAATTAAATTTATTGGGGTGACATCAGTTAATAAAATTATATATTGTATTCACCACCCCATATAATTTCCTTCCATTACCATTTATTCCCCTTTTAACCTTTCCTATCTTCCCCTGCCTTCTTTCCCTCTGGTAATCATCATACTGTTTTTTGTCTGAGTTTTTTGTATTTTTTTTTTTTAATCCCTTCACTTTTTCCACCCAATCCCCCTTTCCCCTCCCCTCCCCTCTGACAGCTACTAGCTGTTCTTTGTATTTATGAGTCTGTTTCTATTTTGCTCGTTGGTTTTGTTCATTAGATCCACATGTAAATTAAATCATATAGTATTTGTCTTTCTCTGACTGGCTTATTTCCTTTAGCATAATATACTCCAGGTCATCTATGCTGTCGCAAAAGGTAAGATTTCCTCCTTTCTAATGGGTGAGTAGTATTCTACTGTGTAAATATACCTCAACTTTTTTATCCACTCACCTATTGATGAGTACTTGGGCTATTTGTATCTTTGAACTAGCAACCATACTATACTTTTCCATACTATATACTATTGTAAATAATGCTGCAGTGAACGTAGGAGTGCATATATTCAAAGCCTAAATATTTAAACAAAATATGTCTTAGCATTGCTTATTCTGGGTCAGTATTCTTAGGTGTGTGATATATCTTTTTAGTAGCTACACATTTATTTTTTAAATGAGAAAGTTATTTTAGTATTTGTGCTCTTCCCTTTTCTTCAAGAACTCCTATTATTGGTATATTATCCTTCCTTTGCTTTAGTGAACCTTTTATCTTAAAATTTAAATTTTTTTCTTATTTTGTATTCTGTATTTTGAAGACCCTGTTATATTTATTTATTTTTAGTTTTCTTCCAGTTTGATCTTCATTTGTGAAATTATTTTTTTCCTTCACGAGTATTTTATCTTCAGTTCTCGGTTTTTCTAATTGTGATGTGTGTTGTTCTTTTATGTATTGTTACCACTTTCATAATGTCTTTAGCTTGTTTTAATATAGTAGGTTGCAGTTTTGATATGTTTTATGGACATATTTTCTTGAGTGATTTCTGTAGGGATTTATTGTCTGCAGGGATTTATTTATTTTTTTCTTATAATAAATTTGATGGGATTTTACCTTGATCCTTTTCTATTGGTCACTTTTATGGGTAGTTTTATTTAACTTTTAGCATGAGGTGGAATTCAGGGAAGTTGTTCTGACTTTGTAGAGCTCTGCCTCTCTTGTTTTTATCCAGTGTTCTAAAGAGGTTGGCCTGCATTCTGAGATTTCCTAGGTCTTTTCTCCTGTCCCAGTTTAGTCTCCTCTTTCTTCTGCTGTTCCACTCTCCTCGGTTTTGATTTTACACCAATAGTTTCTTCTTAGTGCGGGGCTTGTTCTAGAATATAGTCTGGGTAGATCAGTTTTGGAAGTTCATGGTGATTAAATTGATTCAACTTCTTTTCAGCCCTTCTTATTGTGGACTTTTTGTCTCACACAGTGTTAGAGGTGCCAGAATCCCTCCTAGTTTCAGCTACTGTCCTAATTGGCCTGATAGGCTTTGCAGTGACTACACATTAGGTATTTTGGAGTTGTTATTAGGTTCATTAGTTGCCACCTTATTGTTTTGTTTTTCCTTTCAAACAATGCACGTCTTGTGGGTGTTGGTGAATTGTCTCTGCATTTTGGGATTTGAAAGGGTACCTTGCTGCATAGTTTGTTTTAGGTGTTATGGATGGGATTTTGGTTTTGTTGTCTAGATGCCTTGTCTGTTTTTATGTGGAGATTTGAAGAGATGAAAATCTATGTGGCTCCTGCTGCTACCATCTTCCCAGAACTCTTGCCATTAGTTTTGATGTTCCCTGTGTGGTAAGTGTACTCTATGATGTTTGCACAACAGAATTGCCTAACGAGACATTTCTCAGAACCTATTCCCACTGTTAAGTGACACAAGGCTGTATATAGTTTTCTGGGACTGTTTTCTTCACTGAACATTATGCTATTAAGATTAATCTGTATTTTGTATGTAGCTATAGTAAATTCCCTCTCACTGCTACATAATTTATTATATTAATATCTATATTTTATTTATTCTTCTGGTGAGCATTTTAACAATTCTAGTTTTGTTGATCATTACAAAACAACAACAATAGCAACCACTGTATTATATTTACTATGTCCCACAAAGTTTTCTATGTGCTTTACATATATTATCTCTCGTAAACCGCACAAGAAACCTGCAAGGTAGATACTATTTTATTCTCTTTTAAGGTTAAGGTGAAGCAAAAAGGGTTAAATAACTTGCTCAAGGAGCCAGAATTAAAAACGTAGGTTATCTAGTCCTTTCGTCTGTGCTTATGTAGTAGATTGTTTTGGATTCTGGAAATAAAAGTACCGTGTTTCCCCGAAAATAAAACATCCTCCGAAAATAAGACCTAGCTCATGGAAAGATAAGACATCCCCTGAAAATAAGACCTAGCGCAACTTTGGGAGAAAAAAATTAATATAAGACACTGTCTTATTTTCGGGGAAACAGGGTATTATCTTTGTTCTCATAGACCCTTAATTATAAAACATGATACTTGCTTAAAGACATATTATATTTTACTATTTTTTAAGGTTTTAATGTTGAGAACATATAATCTTTGTTCATTTGATTTTAATTTGAGAGATAAAATGATGTTTGGAATGTACGTTAAACTCTAACAAGTTAAACTAAGGGATTCTATGAATGCACTTATTGGAAAGGTCATCTTTTTTTAGTACAATAGCTGGTGGTGCTCACATCTGGAGATTAGCACCATCTACTGGCAAAGGGAAACAACTGTTGTGAGAACAGTATACACTTTCATAGGATTTTTCCTTTTGAAACTGTTTCTGGGGGAAATAAACATGTTGTAATTTTTCTATGTGTTGATTATTGTATCCCTGTTTGTTTTCTTTAAACTTCAAATATCTATTATATATTGCATATTTGCATAACTGCATTTTTATGAGGAAAAATACAAGAAAATATATAGTTTTATAGTCATTCTGCAATAGTCTTTTTCAAATCATATAAGGTTATTATTATTTTTTTAGAGTAATACGAGCAGAACCTAAGGTGTCCAGTTGTGCTAATATGAACTGTATTTAGCTTATAGTTCTGTTTTGGCTTGGTTAAGTAGTACTATCTTTATAGAGGTATGGAATTAACAGTAGAATGAAAACAGTGGCTAACCATGGGAAGCTTCTCTCTGCTCAACTCTTGGTATTAACCTAATTTCTATTTTAATCTTTACTTAAGTTGGTTTAGCTTTCATTTGTCAGTGGCTTAGCATTCTGTTTATATCTTGTTTTAGATTAACTTCTATTACTTAGCACTATTCTTTGTCATTTTTTTCCTCGTCATTAATTGAAATGACTTAAAAGTAGATGAGGGAAAAAAAAAGATGAGAAATCAGTTGCCCTTTTGTTCCATTTCTTATTCAATATGTTACATTTCTTCTTTTCTGATATGTTTTATATAGACACTTTACAAGTTAAAAGTTTTTTAGATGTGATAATTTTAGTTAACGGTGAAATGATCATTTTTACAGAAGGAGGGACATAATCATTGCTTAATAAGCTTTGGTTAGGTGTTTTGTTAAAGAAATTTTAAAAAGCTAACTTGTGTTATAGAGCAGGAATGGTTGTTTAAGGAACCCTTAGTCAGATATGTTCACTTGTAAGTGCACTGAACACAATAAAAAATAGTTCTTTTTGCCCTGTGACTACTTAACATTTGAAATAAGAACTATTTTCTGTTTTAAGTATTAGCTTATTATAGGTATATTTTAGAGATACATGGGATAAAGACTTATTTATTAAAAATAGCAATACTTACAAATTTTGGATTGTATGACATAATGTTACATAGTTGAATATAAAAGATCCAAGATGCCAAAACTGGTTTGGCTCAGTGGATAGAGCGTCAGCCTGCGGACTGAAAGGTCCCAGTTCAATTCCGGTCAAGGGCATGTACCTTGGTTGCTGGCACATCCCCGGTGTGTGTGTGTGTGTGTGTGTGTGTGTGTGTGTGTGTGTGTGTGTGCAGGAGTTAGCTGGTCGATGTTTCTCTCTCATTGACGTTTCTAGCTCTCTATCCCTCTCCCTTCCTCTCTGTGGAAAAATCAATAAAAATATATTGGGAAAAAAAAAAAAGAAAACGAAAAATTGATGAGAGAGAAACATCAATAAGCTGCCTCCTGCACACTCCCATTGGGGATGTGCCCACAACCAAGGCATATACACATGACTGGAATTGAATCTGGGACCCTTTCAGTCCCCAGGCCGATGCTTTATCCATAGAGCCAAACAGATAGGGCTGTATTATTTTCTATATGAACAACTGTAAACCTACTTTTGCCTCACCCTGTGTATTATCAAGGAAAAATGTATTACGAGGGATCTATGTTTAATTATAGGAACCAATTGTTTTAGTTGTACAGAGCCATTAGAATTTAGTCTGAGCTGAGAATATTAAATAAAACTCCCAGAGTCAGGGTGTATGGTACTGTTTGAGTGGGACCTTGAAGAAGAGAAGGAATTGATAGGTGGAGATAGAAAGAATTTAAAAAGAAGAAGAAAGAATGCCTCAGGCTGAACAAACCATAGCATCTTGTGTAGGGTCTCTGAAGCAGTATTTTGGCAAATAGATTTCATATTCCATGCATAGTTTTGGGAATTCTTACTTTATGAATCATGAATTGCAATAAGATTATCGACTTCTTTTTTAAGAAATATAATACTTCTTTCATACAGTGTTTCCATACTCCCAGTGTTTCTACCACTCCCTTAGAAAGAAGATAAGTTCTGTTTTAAGCACAAAATTGTCAGCTAGAGAGTATTTTTAGGAAAGGGGGGGGAATATAGAGCGTTTTCCAATTTAACACTACTGCTAACTGTTTGAACAGATGCTTAGAACAAATGAAGCTTCAAAAAATAATTCACCTGAGGAGAGAATTATCTTAAACTAGTATCACAATTTAATTGGTTAAAACTTAATCTTACTCAACTGAATTGAAGAACAAGCTTCATATTCTTTCAGCTGTATGAAACATGTTTTTCTTTAATACAAATCTGTATCCTTGAGAGCTATGACTTTTCTTGTATAGATTGCAGTTTATGTACTGCACAAAAGGGTGCAAGTGAAGATGTTTGGGCGTTGAAATGCAATCCTTGCTCAGCTTTCCTGGAGAAAAAGGCACTCTACTTAGAGGAGTCCTTACTCTAAAGTGATTATACATTTGCTTAATTTTTTTAGTGGATTCAGTACTGAGCTTCTAGAAGAGTATAGGCACAAATTAGGAATTCAGTAAATACTTTTTGCATATATAGAGTATTCAGAAGTCCAAACAAGATGAAATTTCCCTCGGACCATGACTTTTTGGCAGATCATTATATGTATTTCATGGATTTTTAAAAAATTGATTCTACTCAATCTGTAGTCTTCTTAAAGTAAAATTCCATGTTTATATGGAATTTATATTTATGTTTGTTGTGTTTTGCCAAATTGTTACTGCTGACAAGCTGTGTTATTATTTTTGTTCTGATTCCATTTATAAAAATATTTAAATTTTAATTTCAGGTATATTGTTTTTTTTTGCCCATGTGACCTAGTTTCCCAGGGCTATTCTTTCCTACCTGTTCAACTCTTGGCTGCAGGAATGAAGGAAGTGACCAGAACTTGGAAAATAGTAGGTGGAGTCACACATGCTAATAGCCATTACAAAAATGGCTGGTTAGTCATGATAGCTATTGGATGGGCCCGAGGTAATATTAACAATATATGTTCATAAATGTTCTGTTATTGGTGTACTACAACTACTGAACAGTTCTCTAGTTATATTAATTAGGACCACATACTTTAATCATGTCTTTTTGGAGGATGGAAGCCTTGTTCCTGTTAACCGTTAGTTAAAAAAGTTAGTTCAAAACTAGCACTTTATTAGTACTAGCCATCAGCCATTATTTTGAGCCCAACTGTCTTACAATATAAAATTTTTAAAATTTATTTATTTTTTATTAAATTATTATCTGTGTACATATTTTTACAATTGGTTTTTGTAAAATTTTGTAAATTTAAAAAAAATTTTATGATTGGTTTCATTAGCAGCCCCAGAACAGGAGGGATTCATAATTAATTAAGGGGTAGTGCCATCATAAATAAACCAAGTTTACATAAGAAATTATGTGCTGCATGTAAAAAAAATTGTGTGTTTTTTAAAATTTTGAATAACTGGAAATGATAAATATGACTGATTATAGGTTCATATTTACTTTGCATTGTTTACCTTTATTGTTGAGTTCTTTTTTATGTAGGAATTGAACAAATTTCTCCAATCTCCTATTATAGTGTATTTTACCTAAAACTAATATCAGGGAAGGAAATAGTAAAACAGAGGATTTTATTTTTCAGATCTGAAACAAACCTCTAGCCACATCTCTGTGCCTAAGGACCCAATTTTAATTTGATTATTGGACAATAGACAGTTGCCATATGCTGAAAGGGAAGAATTCCAATAGTGCCAGTACCATTAATGTACAAGGCAACTTTTTTCTTTCCCAAAATTACATTTTGGGGGTCCTCTCGGGATTTTAAGTCAGGAAGTAAAATTATGACTTTGTTTGAAATATTTCTCTAGAAAATTTGGCTAAATATTCTTGTTTTATTTTCTTATTTTTAGGTGCAGGAGGTAGCATTATCACAAATTTTGAGCTATTGGTAAAAGGAGATTGGAAACCACAAGCTGATGAATGGATGAAGATGTCCTAGTGAGTTGATATAAACTATACTGAGAATCTGGCTTTTTATCCTTAGCTCCCACCAAATTTATTTTTGAAAACATTTTGTGGATTCTAGATATGGATGAAATATAGGTGAAAAAAATAGTGATGATAATGGGAAGAAAAATAGGAAACTTTATTCTTTCAAAAAGACTGCTCTCTCAAATGTAGTTTTAAAAATATATAGGTATTGATTCATTTATTTGTGGGTTCCTTTCCTTAGGAAATAAAATAAAACAAAAATTTCTAGATTGTTATAGAATTGTGTGAAGAGTATGAATTTATGGAGAGAGAATTACATAGGCACAGACTTCTCTAAATGGAAATGAATCAGTTGCAGGCTCTTGGTATTTTCATTAATGAAATCACCCAGATTTCAAATTTACACAGTTCTGTTAGTAAAATGTCAAGTTTAAGAGAACAAATCAAAGCATTGTCATAAAGCCCTATTAGTTGCTTTAAAAATGGAAGTTGAATTTAATTGTATGTAACAATAAGAAAAAGATTAGAGGAAATAACCCACTCTCCACTTGTTGGATGCATGTTACCTTTTGTGTCCCCTTAAGAAAATCTAATTGTTAGATATTCTTTAATGACACTGACCCAGTATTAAATAAGTCACAAATGTATCCCTAATGTACCTGAAAATGAAACAGAGAAGTGCAGTTTCCGTTCCCACAATTCAGGAAGGGAAAGGTTTAGTGAATAGTGGCCATAATAAGCAAGGCAAGGAAAGACTTCGTGTGAAAATAAACTCATTAGAATGGATTAAAAATGAAGGTGAAGAAGCAGTATGGATGATGAAGTATGTTTGAGAACCAACAAAATCCAGGATATATAACTTGGAAAGTACTCCTTAAAGCTTGAATTGAGGCAGTTCAGAAATAGAACAAAGAAGGTTTTGGATGATGATGGTAAGTTATAAGTCAGGCATTAGTGTAATTAAGGGGAAATATTTTCTCATTTTGAGTGCATGCCTTGAAATACTTTTATAAGCCATTTCTTGGTACTTTAAAACCAAAATCAAATTATGTTTCTCCTCTGTTCAAAACCTTACAGTGACTCCCTGGAATGGCCTATAAGGCCCTCCAAGATCTGTCTCTCCGTACACCCAATTTGCTTTGACTTCATCTTTTATTCTTCTTATCCCAAGCATCTCCCTTGTTCACTACATTCTGTTCTTGAAAAAGCCTGGTGTGGTCTGGCTTATACTAGCTTTTCTCTTTCCCTAGAATCTTTTTTCTCAGGTTGCTACCTCCCTATCTACTTTGTTCAAAGTATTTTCTTAAAGCTCACCTCAGTGAGGATTACCCTGCTTAAAATTGGAGCATTTCCCTCTATTCTTTTTCTTCACATAGCATTTATCATATTCTATCATTTTCTTACTCATTGTGTTTATTCTCCTCTCCCCTTGGCTTCACCTCCCCACCCCACTTCCTTCAAATAATAGAAGATGCCAAGGACAGGGATTTTTTTTTTTCTTTTGTATCCCAAGCATCTACCAAATAGTAGACAATAGACAATAAATATTAGATGAATGAAATGATTGACAATTTGTCAGGCAATTATTATATTTTTGTCCATTATGATATTTTGTGATTGTGTGCATATACTTAAGTTTTCATATATTTACATTACCAAATACTTGTGCATAGCAGAGAAAACCTGTTTGGTCTTAGAGAATACATACATTGTCATAAACAGAATTTTGGTAGGTGTATGAATATTAGAGGTGCTGGTGAGCGCTCTGAAGGAAATGGGAAACATGATATTAGAAACTGAAGAGATGATACAATTACCGTATATAGTGGCAGAAAACTTAGCTGAATTGTGGAAAGCATAACATGTAAGCAATGAACTTGATTAGTTAGCTGAGGAGATGTAGAAGCAAAGTTGAAGTTCTGGACTAGGTTTTCTTTGCTGCTTATGATAAAGTGTAAGAGGAAAGATTTGACTTGAGGGAATAACTGCTAACTAAAGAAATCAAGACTTGATGATTTAGGAAATTCTCAGCCAATCCAGACTGGAAAAGATGATAAAATTAGTAGACTTGTTCTTAGGAAAGCCTGCGGTGGAGAGAAAGTCTAGGGTGTTGCTGGATAATTTTTGCTAATGTTAAAAGAGATTAGGCATGGGACACATGGATCCATTCAGCTATCACAACAGAAACCAGGACTAGAGATGGGATTTTTAAAGGACCATTTTGACTAATGGCATGGATTCCTGTGTCATACACAGGAGACCCATAAGTTCTTTGAAAATGTTATGTCAGCAGAAACATTGCCAGCTTGGACTGAAAGGGACAGAGATAAGATGAAATAAAAGAAGGCTGTCAGACTCCTAACATTCTACAGGCAGGAAACAGGCTGATAAAACTGCTTAGCTGCAAACATGTGCTACCCTTCAAGGAAAAGGAAGCATTATTTTAAGGTGAGGCTATGGGCCTAGAGGTCTGAGGCCAGGCACACAGGCTGGTGTCACAGGTGTAAAGGCCAGAGCTTTGAGTGCAGAGGTTGGAACTGCAGACTTAGAGGACACAACTTCAAGCCATTGAGGATAGCTCAGGCCTCAAAACCTAATGGAATTTGCCCTGCTGGATTTTGAACTTGTGTAGGACCAGTGACCACTTTATTCTTCTGTTTTTTTGTTTCCTTTTGGAATGAGAATGCCTATAACTGTTATTCTGTGCCTATTCCACCACTGTATTTTGGAAGCAGGTAGCTTATTTACTATTTCACAGGGAACTACTATAAGAATTTCCTAAATACTTTCTGATCTTCCTAACCAACCTCATTGACTTTTTCCTAAAGCCCAGCCCTTTTCCAATTTCCTGTCCCAATTTATTATCTACAATCATTTTTCCTCAGATCCATTGCTTTTAGATATATGCTCTTAAGAGAACCCAATGCGGAATGGAATGTATTTACACTAGAGGATGCCCAGGATGAAGCACTAATGTACAGATACCAAATTATTAGAAACAAAGAGTAGCAAAATGACATGAAGACAAACCTACTTTCATTTGTTTTTTATCTCAACTTGTTAAAATACCAATTTTATGTACATTTTATAACAACAGTTGTACATTTATATAATTTACAAATTAATTGATAAATATATTTTAGGGAGTATCTTAAATACTTCTTTATCAATAGAGTTGGATACACAGTAAAACGTTTTTAGAGACTACTTTTCCAAAACAGGAATGCTGCCCGATCATTGTTAAGCAAAATCCAAACCCCTGTTGCCCAATTCTAACCCTGGTTTGAACTCAATTTTTAGCTTGTAATAATGAAATTAATAACCAGTTTTTCATAAAATGGCTGATAGGGGCTTTTACATTCGAAGTTTATTATTTATCTTTTTCTAGTCATCATAGAGAGCTAGGTAATGATCTGTTATGAGATATACTTTAAATATGTGGCAAACATAACATTAAAGTAGTGCTTCTTATTTGTAAATTCACATCTTATACTAGTAGACTTGAACTGTTCAGCATTAATTTATTAAGATATTAGCTAATGCAAATATTCTGTGCTGGCGTTATCTAAGTAATGTGCTGGAGCAAGCTCATATTGTTTTATGAGAGCCAATTGTGTATATCTCTACTCTTTACACAGCAGCCTGAAGTTGGTTATGACGGGAATATTTACACAATGGAAATGAGAAAATACTACAAATGGGGGCTTTCTTTTACTTCCCCATTCCATCCAATAAGTCTGTTTAGCATTATAAGGTTTTTCAGGACTAATTTACTTGTCCCAAATTATGCTGACAAACATGGGACTTCCAGATCCTTTGTAAGAAAGTGTTATAAGGTTAAATATGTTCTAGAAATATTGCATAAAGAAATGAGATAAGTTTACATAACTTAACAGCATTTCACAGGGCTCATTTTTGTATTCTATTAATAACTCATTAAATTAGTATTTTGTAGAGTACTCTTTGAGAAATATAGACATAGATCATGTTAATTACTTAAACTAAACTTGACTTAAAGTGTGTTTTGTTTTCAGCCCTGCCAAGGTAACCCTGCTGGGGTCAATTATCTTCACACTCCAGCACACTGAGCACCTGTTAATATCAAGGCATGATCTTGTGTTCCTCTATACCATGTTTCTTGTGGTCACAAAGGTAAGAGTTCCAAGTAGCAATAAATCAGTATCACAGATTCTGTGAAATCAGAATTCTGCATATGAGGCAAGTAACAGGAACATTTACTTTTTATTGTTAGTACAGTCTAAAATGATGAACTTTGGAGAATTTATTCAGCAAATCTATGGCTTTCTGAAACTTATTTCTCCTGACTCCTCATTTGATTTATGCTGAGGCTATCAGGAAAGACTTGAAGATAGCCTCAGAATATAGTAGAGGTCAGAGAGTAGTGAAAATGGCCAAGATGATGAGAGACTGCAGAGACAGTGTCATCTCATTTGGAAAATGTCATCTCATTTGGTAGATGTTCTCTGAGTTTCTTTTGAATTTTAAAATTTCATGTTAGGCATTTGTGGTCTAATTTGTTTGTCTGGTTTGAAGCTTTATTCGTTCTTGAAGATAGAAGATAGTATGATATAAGATCACAGTTTTTTGAGTCAGGTTGTCTTAAGTTCACACCTAGCTTTATTCTCTAATCCCTGTATGGGCAAGTCACTTAATGTCTCTAAATCCTGATTTCCTCGTTTTCATTATATGATTGTTGAGAGGATTGGAGATGATATATGCCATTCTATTACTGCATCTGACACATCCTATGAATTCTACTTCTAGCTCTATCATGAGGCTAATTCTGATTATTGTTATTCTTACCATTATTAGATACTAGAGGCTTGGTGCATGAAATTCATGCACTTGTGGGCCTGGCGGGGGGAGAGGGGGTTTCCCTCAGCCTGGCCTGTGCTCTCTTACAGTCTGGGAGCCCTCAGGGGATGTCTGACTGCTGGCTTAGGCCTGCTCCCCATCCCCACTTAGTGGGCCTAAGCCAGCAGTTGGACATTCTTAGTCGGACATCCACAGAGGCAAGGGAGGCTCCTGCCACTGCTGCTGTTCTCGCCAGCCATGAGCCCAGATTCTGGCTGAGTGGCGTTCCCCCTGTGGGAGCACACTGACCACCAGCAGGCAGGTCCTGTGTTGAGCGTCTGCCCCCTGGTGTTCAGTGCACATCACAGTGACCTGTCATTCAGCTGTTCAGTCGATTGGCATATTATCCTTTTATTATATAGGATTGTTTCCTATTCACAGCTAGGCAATGGATTTTAAAATAAGTTTACTATATAGGCCTAGAAAAATTTTATAGCTGTTTCATTGCCTAGATAGTTTTGGCTAAAACTTACCTACAGGATTCTTAAAAGGAAGAAGTATATGTTACATACACTTATGTCTTAGAAAGAACTAAGCCACTATCGGGATCATTTATTCCTCCTCTAGTAGTCTCTGCAGTGGAAGTGATCTGTGGTGGTAATGCATTACTTGATATCTGAAGCAACATCTCTTCACATGTGCCTTCCTCTTCCAGTCCTCAGAATTGGGGCTGTATGTATTTTTTTTGTAACAACTCTACTGAGAAATATTTTACATACCATACAATTAATCCATTTAAAGTATACAATTCAGTGTTTTTTTTACTATAGTCACAGAGTTGTACAGCCATCACCACATTAGAATATTTTGGTCACCCCAAAAAGAAACCTCATACTCATTAGCAGTCACTTAACATTTTCCTTTAATCCCCCAGCTGTAGGAAACTACTAATCTACTTTCTGTTATAAATTTATTCATTCTGATATTTTATGTAAATGGAAACATACAATATATGGTCTTGTGACTGATTTTCTTTCACTTAACATAAGGATTTTGAGGTTCATCAGTGTTGTATAAATCAGTATGTTATTCCTTTTTAATGCCAAATGATATTCCATCCTATGGATATACATTAAAATCTCAGTATAATGGATTGATTCAAGTAAGGGGTTGTCCTTTAAAGCCGAAAAAGTCTGTTATATAAATAACAAATGCATATGTTAAAAAATTGACAAATTAGTTTACCTGTTTTTTACTTATGTAGACATGTTTGTGTAATTAAAATTAAGTATGCATGAAAAATTTCTTTTCACAGAAAAGGTTTCTGTTTGTATTACAGTAATTTTAAATTTATACCGAACAGGTCTAGTAAATGCGTGCATTCATAAGTCACTGTGAGTAACACGGCTGCGGCTTGGCTTAGTGCACATGGGAACATCAGCCTGCTTGCACAAATTAAAACAGCTACAGGAAGTCATTTCTTGCAACAACAGAACCGATTATAGTGTGTATGATGTGGTGTGATCTTGTGCTAATCGTTTGCCAAACATTGTATACCAAAGCGACTCCTGGATTTAAATATGTAGACTATGGTTATAGATATGTAATATTTATGTCGGTGAAATTACTACAGTGTTTTTTTTCCAACATATGGTCTATATGCTAAAATTTGTTTAAAAATAACAGTGAATCACCTGGCCAGTATGGCTCAGTGGTTGAGTGTCAATCTATGAATCAGGAGGTCACGGTTCGATTCCTGGTCAGGGCATATGCCTGTGTTGCAGGCTCAACTCACAGGTTGGAGCATACAGGAGGCAGCCAATCAGTGATTCTCATTGTTGATGCTTTTATATCTCCCTTTTCCTTTCTCTCTGAAACCAATAAAAATATATTTAAAAAATAAAAGTGAATTAATAACAAAAAAATAACCTATTAATTTAATTATAAACAAATCTTGGTTAAAAGCATTTTCACCTGTTACATTTGGACCAGAAATTTTGTCTGTTAAATATGAAGTCTGTTAAATTGAGATCTGCAAAATCAGAGGCTTATTGTACTGCATTTTATTTATCCATCATTGATAGCTATTTGGGTTCTTTTACTTTTTGGCCAATATGAAAATGAGCTATGAACATCCACGTTCAAGTTTTTGTGTGGACATGTGTTATATTTCTCTTGGGTATATCATATATGAATGGAGTTACTAGGTCATATAGTAATTCTACATGTAATCTTTTGAGGAACTTTGAGGAATTATCCAAAGTGGCTTTATCATTTTACATTTCTACCAGCAATATATGAGAGTTCTAATTCACCACATCTTTGCCAATGCTTATCTTTTTCATTAGAGTCATCTTAGTGGGTATGTGGCATCTCATTGTTATTTTGATTTACATTTTCCTGATGACTAATGATATGAGCATCTTTTCATGTGTGTACTGACCATTTATATATCATCTCTGGGGCAATGTCTGTTCAAATCTTTTGCCCACTTAAAAATTGAATTATCTTATTGAGTTGTAATAGTTTTCTATATATTCAGGATACCAGACCTTTGTGAGATATATATATCTCCATTATTTTTCTCCCAGTTTGTGGCTTCCTTTTTTATTTCCTTAGCATTGTCATTAGAAGAGCTGAAGTTTTTAATTTTGATGAAGTTCAGTTTAGTATCATTTTCCTTTTATGGTCCTGCTCTTTTGTGTCCTAGCTAAAATATTCTACCATATCTCAAGGTTGTAAAGATTTTTCACCTGCATTGTTTTTCTTATAGTTTTATTGTTTCTGTTTTTACATTTAGGTTTATGATCCATTTCTTTAAAAATATTTTTATTAAATTTATTGGGTGACATTTATTAATAGGATCATATAGGTTTCAAGTATACATTTCTGTAATACATGATCTGCACATTGCATTCTTTTTCAGGGTTTCTTTGTATAGTCTAAGTCTTACATTTCCATATATAAATATTATGAGGCTGTCACATGTTATTCAATTTAGGTAATATGTTTTTTCTTTTAATAGTTTGCAAAATAAGGAGATAGTTTTATATTTTATTTGAAAAAAAAAAAAGAGGTCATTCCATTTTTCACTATTATATTTGTGTCACCTTGCTGAATCAAGGCCTAATAAGAGTCTCAATTCACAGAAGCCTGTCCTTGAACCTCCTGAGTCTATTTCAGCAATAACTCCTGATGTTGGCAATACTTCTTGGATGAGTGATGACTCTCCTGGGAGTAGAGCTTCTATTAGAACACTCGATTTGAAAAATACTTACGATAGTTCACATTCTCAGGAAATACCTTAAATCATGGCACTCTTCTCTTTTGTATATTATTTTAAAAAATGCTGTTTTTCTGACAGTAAGCCATTGTTTTTATCTGAATTCTTCTGTGGTTTTTTTTTTTTTTTTTTTTTTTTTTTTTTTTTTTTTTTTTTTTAATTAATCCTCCCCTGAGGTTATTTTTTCGTTGATTTTTAGAGAGAGTGGAAGGGAGCAGAAGAGACAGAGAGAGGAACATCCACATGAGACATATTGATTGCTTGCTTCCTCAGACGAGGGCCGGGGATCAAGCTTGCAACCAAAGTACGCACTCTTGACCAAAATTGAACCCAGGACCCCTTCAGTCCGTAGCCAACACTTTATGCACTGAGCCAAACTGGCTAGAGCTGAATTCTTTTATCTTTTATTCACAGTCCATGAAGTCAATAATTTTCCTAGTACCTCTTACTGTACTAAAGAATAGTTTAATGTAAGGAAATTTTACTTAGCTAGTGCCCAATAAACTTGGAGGTGAACATTATATTAGGGTTTTTTTTTTTTTTTTTTCACTATTTTCTTCTTAGGTGAGCACATTCATATTCATGCCTTTACCTTCTACTTATATAGTAATGACTTCCGAATCTATATCTTGTACTTAAATGTTTCTGGGAAAACCTCTGTTATTGCACTTCTCTTTACTGTTCTATAATTATTGATTTACTTGCTTGTCTCTGACTAGTCTGTAAGATCCTTGAAGGCAGGGATTACATTCAACATTTTTCTAGCAGCCAGGTATAATGCGCAAACAGATTATTTAAATCCTCTTGATGGCTACTTTTAGTCTTTGTTAGTGCTGTTCTGATGTGACCCTTTTGGGACCTCAAATTTAAACCTGAAGTACATCTCTGGACAGTTACACCTTGCCTAGCCTTGAACTTCAAACTGTCTGAAGTCTCTGCTCTGTTCTTTAGCATTCTAGCTGTGGCTGTTTGCTAGGCAAAGAACCTAAATAGATTTTTTTTCTTTACAAAGAAGAGATACAGCCGGGACCGGTTTGGCTCAGTGGATAGAGCATCGGCCTGCGGACTGAAAGGTTCCGGGTTCGATTCCGGTCAAGGGCATGTACCTTGGTTGCGGGCACATCCCCTGTCGGGGGTGTGCAAGAGGCGGCTAGTCGATGTTTCTCTCTCATCGACGTTTCTAACTCTCTTTCCCTCTCAATTTCTCTCTGTGTAAAATCAATAAAATATATTTAAAAAAAAACACAAAATAAACAAAAACAAAAAAAAACCAAAGAAGAGATACAAATGGCCGACAGGTACATGAAAAGATGCTTAACATCATATCAGGGAAATGCAGATTATAACCACAATGAGATATCATCCCACACCTGTTAGAATGGCTATTATAAAAAAGACAGAAATAACAAGTCTTGGTGAGGATATGGAGAAAAGGGAATCTCGTACCCTTTTGGTGGGAATGTAAATTGGTATGGATAACAGTGTGGAAGTTCTCAGAAAATTAAAAATAGAACTACCAGATGAGTTAACATTTTACTTCTGGTATTTATCAGGAGAAAACGAAAATGCTAAGACAATAATGATATATGCCAGGAGGTCAGGGTTCAATTTCTGGTCAGGGCACATGCCCAGGTTTCAGGCTAGATCCCAGTAGTGAGTAGAGGGTGGGCAGGAGACAGCCTATCAATGATTTTCTCTCATCATTGATGTTTCTGTTTCTCTTTCGGTCTCCCTTCTCTGAAATTAATAAAAATATATTTTAATCATAACAACAAAAATAGTATATGCCAACCCCATGTTCATTGCAGCATTGTTTACTGTAGCCAAGACTTGACAACAACCTAAGTGGCCATCAAAAGATGAATGAAGCCGAAACCGGTTTGGCTCAGTGGATGGAGCATCGGCCTGTGAATTGAAGGGTCCCAGGTTCAGTTCTGGTCAAGGGCATGTACATTGGTTGTGGACACATCCCTGGTAGGGGGTGTACAGGAGGCAGCTGGTCGATGTTTCTCTCTCATTGATGTTTCTAGCTCTCTGTCCCTCTCCCTTCCTCTCTGTGAAAAATCAATAAAATATATTTTTAAAAAAGATGAATGAAGACTATATGATGAATATGTATATAATGAAATATTCAACCATAAAAAGAAGTGAAATATTGCCATTTGTGCCAACATGCATGGACCTTGAGGACATTATGCTACGTCACTGGTCGGCTAACTCGGCTCGCGAGCGGTGGCTCTCGAGCCGCAGTTTGCCGCTCTGTTGACTAATGAGTTTGCCGACCACTATGTTAAGTGAAATAAGACAGAGAAAGACAAATACAGTTTAATCTCATTTACATATAGAATCTAAAAATTAAGAAAACACACCAAATTCATAGATAGAGAGGAGAGAGATTAATGGTTGCCATAGGCAGGGTGTGGTGATGGGCCAAATAGGTGAAGGGGGTCAAAAGGTACAAACTTGGAGTTATAAATTAAGTAAGTTATTGGGCATGATGACTATAGTTAATAAAACTATGCTGCATATTTGAAAGTTGCTAAGAGAGTAGATCTTAAAAATTCTCATCACAAATAATTTTTTTGTAACTATGTATGATGATGAATGTTATCTAGACTAATTGTAATCATTTCCCAGTATGTACATATATGGAATCATATGTTGTACACGTGAAACTACCATGTTAAATATTGATTACATCTCAATAAAAAAAGAATACATTTTGAAATTATTCTTTTTTATTATTATTACTTATCCCTTTTACTTTGAGAGCAAACATTTGTATTTAAATTCAAACTTGAACTTTTTTTCCAGATAATCATGATGACTACAGCGACCCCTATTCTGCCTTTTGCTCCTTTTGAGGCTACAATAAGTCGGATATTGTTTGGCTGGCAGCAGCAGTTCTTACCATGTGAGAAGAAAAGTGAAATAAGCACATCGACCTCAAAGTCTACAGCTGTTATTTCAGATAAAGCTAAAAAGAAGGGCAATAAGAAGACTGACTAAATTTACTCGATGAATTTTAGAAGGCAAAAAAATTTCTTATCTACCTAGCAGACTGTGATAAGTATTTCTATTGTAAATGATGTGAAATAAAGATTACACATAAGGAATGAAGGTGACAAAAAGAAAGAACTTCTTTCTGTTTCAGGGAGATCATCCCTTTCTGGATTGTAATTCTCCAGTGTTGTGAGTGTATCATGTGAAATTGTTCTTCTAAGTTATAAAACATTGTGGATATTTTATAGCTTTATATTGATAAAAGCAGGCTAGATTTTTTTCAGTGTTAGAGAAAGTGAACCTATTATTATTGCAAAATTACAAAAATTAAATCCTTTTTGTTTTCTTTAGATATTGATATTTTAAAATTTATTTGAGCTTTAGTTTAGCAAAATTAAACTTCTATTTCACATTACCATTATAATTTTTAGATATGGAAAACAATTCCTGTTTAATTTTGAACACGGGGAAAAGTAAACTTTATCTAAATCACTTTACATTGCAAAGAAAGTAAATTACTAGTGTATATCTCAGATATGAATATTGTATATTTTGCCCACATTAAATGGACATATCTGAAATTTTATTAGTTTTTTTCTAATAGTTTTTTTCAGTGAGAACAGAGTATTAGCATGAGTCTCAAAGTCTTTTTCATACCCTTGTTTATACCTTTCTTTTGTCTCAAAAAAATCAGGGGTATAATTTTTAATAAATTACTAGTCCTGTGTTTTGCTTTGTAAGTTTCATTTGAGAAGCTACTATTTTTTTTCTCTCTCCTTAAAACTCATTTGTTTTTAACTGTAGAAGAAATTATTTTCAGCATTTCACATGTTCTTTCTGATCTTAGTTGGTTTGAATATACTGATGGTAGTATCATCTTAATGATTCAACAAAAAGTATTATTTTAATTTAAAAATTTTCCCTTTATGTCTCTTTTCTAAGGGGAAGTTTTCAGTTTTCTAGTTGAAATGTCTCTGACTATGTGTTTGTGTTGTATTTTAATCTGTATGTACATATATTATTAATTTTATTTTAAATTAAAAATAATTACCCTTATGCGAAAATGCTCAGATTTATGAGAATTGTCCTTGTGCCTTCAGCAGTAACCAGCTAACCAAGAAAAAGATACTAAAATCTCATATGGTAGTTCACTTGAGTGAAAACTGATGACATTGTATCTGGTTTCTTTTAGATTTTCTTGCTTTATTTTATAGTTTAAAAGCCCAGTTATGATTTTAAAATTCTGTGACTGACATTTCTTCTATCCAGACTATGAACCTGCCTACCTGCAAAGAATTAGTATGTATCCAGCATTTTTGGATGGCGAAATACTCAAATCACATTCAAATTAAAAGTTTAAAAACATTTTTAACAAATATACCAGCAGGAACTATACTTTTACTTGCTAAAAAACTTTTTTGGGGGATGGGGTAGGACCTTTGATAGCTTTTGTATACTAAGAAATTTATTTTTAATATTGTGACGAAAGGCATTAAAATATGAGTTCTTTGTTACATTTGATACTCTTGTACTTTTCAAAATTAACATGTTACTAATTGTTGACTTAGTTTTGAAGTTTGGGTTTGACTGTAGATGAAATGGCAGTAATCTTGTTTTACACTTGTGTTAAAGACAAAGCTATTAAAATAAGTTATTTGGCATCAATGAAGTATTACATTATTTTATGATTAAAAAAATAGTTTTCTTGAGTTACCCATTCAAAACACATTAGGTGTATTGACTGATAGAGTATGTACTAAATAATTACTGTCCAAATAGGACATTGGTACAGACTTTTAAAATCTATGCAAGCTTCCTAAAACCTTCAGTTCAAGGATCGTAGGAGAAAGATGTTCTGGAGAACATATAATAGCTTAAGCCTGAAACTCCCACCCTGAATCTACCCTTGCTGCCCAGAGACTTGAGATTTGCAAAGCAGATTGTTAGACTCCTTACCCAATTGGTAGCATAAATGAGACCTTTTGACCGGCTTAACAGCCTATTATTGGTAGTCCTGAGAAAGTCAAGACCTGCTAGATCTCCTTACCTAAAAGGAGATAAGAAGCTTCAAGAACATTGGCTGGCTTAACTCAGTGATCTCACATTCTAATAAAATGTGGCCAAATTAACACCAATTCTGACTTTTTAAATTAGTCACTCTTCTTTGCTGAGGATAAAGGCTGGAGGAGACAAATATGTGGAATGGGTATATTTTTTGTTTGAATGTATTTTTTGTTTACTCCTTTAAGGCCTAACACCATTTCATTAAAATTACTTCAAATCACAAGTTGATTACAATTGAGTTTTACACTTGTGCTACATTTGTTTGTTAAAGACTCCAAGAGCGTAGTTGGGGGAGGTTGTCAAACATTTTAATTTTGTCTGTTTTCAATGAGTAATTGGGATTCTTATGGTTTTGATTTGCATTTTCCTGATGATTAATGATGTAGAGTACTTTTTTGTGTATGCACATTGACCATTTGTTTTTCTCCCTCTATAAAATGTCTCTACAGATCTTTTGCCCATATTTTATTGGATTTGTCTTTTTATTATTAAGTTGTAGGAGTTCTTTATTATCTTTGGTATTTATTCTTTGTAAAACAGTTATTTTTTTTCTGGGCTGTGGCTTACCTATTCACTTTTATAATGATGCCTTTTAATGATCATGGATTTTTAATTTTGAAGCAATCTAATTTCCCAGTATTTTATTCATAGTTATTTCCTGTCTTAAGAAATTTTTGCCTACCTCCAAGTCATGACATTGTTAGCCCATCGGAGGAATCTGCAACAAGGGAGAAACACTTAAAAGAGAAACCCTATACTGTTATGTAAATTAATAATTTTGTCACTCAGCAAGTCACTTAGCTCTAATTTTTGATTCTGCTTTTTGAAAATAATTGTACACCTTATATATCAATAATTTTTCCTGAGTTTGTGCTACATATTATCCATTAAAGGAATTTAAGACTTTCCTGTATGTGTCTATTTAGGGACTTTTTGTAGTCAGGCTTGACTTTAGTTTGTAACAACTCTGATATTTCATTTAAGAGATGGTGAATAAGAATGTGGTAACAGAAAATATTTTAAAAAATGAAGTAAGTTCTCTAAGCTCAGAGTTGGTATGGAACTGGTTGGAAAAGTAGTGTTCCAAATATATATCTCATTAGTGCATATGTGTGGTGAGCAGTGGTCTGACAGGAAAATCAGTAGACCTTCCTTAGATTAATTTACTTGCAGGTTGTCTGGTAATTCATGACACTTAATAAAGAGAATTAAGATTTCTTTGGGATCAAGAAAAATTATGCAATTTATATGTTGGTATTATTATCACAAACAATGGTTTAGTGAAGGGGAGAGGAAGAAAGGGACTTCTGTCAGACAAATTTATTTTTATTTCTGTAAAGTTGTATTTTTTTTTTTTAAAGAGAATCAAGTTGAGGATGGTTATATGTATTTTTACAAATATTTTGTGTAATCCCGCAGTTTGACTTAAAAATTCAGCCTAATCTCAATAAAAATAGACTGTTGACTGAACCTTCCTTGAGAATAATATGAAGTAAAAGGAATCTGCTACAGGGGCTGATAAACGGCATGATTGTATTGACATCTTAATGAGCTGTAAGAGGAAGTACATAGCATCTTGATTAAATTTTCAAAGGATGGTAGGTGTTATGAAAGCCTGTGATGACAGGAAAGATGTAAAGGATTAAAAAATATGCTTGGAAAAATGACTCAGCTTAAAAAAATATAAGTATCCATCTGGGAAGAATTATATAAGGCTCAAGCCTAAGAAAATATGCATGCATTTTGTAATAAACTTTGAATAACAAAAATTCATGGAACATTAGCAGGTTACAGTCTTTATTTTGAGCAGCCTGACATTTTGGAGTTATGTGACTGAGGAAGAGAGAGTAATTCATGTTAGAGGACAAATAGCAGTCTTTGCCATGACTGCTGATCTGAAAGGACTATTTTGAAGATAATATATGTTAAAATGACTACGGAGAAGAGTAGTCAATTTATGGGTGAAACCAAAGGTCTGTACAGGTTGAAGCCCAAATAATGTGTGCCAAATCATTTCCCATGTGTAATACCTGAACCTCACAAGCCAATAAGACAGGAAGTTCAGAAGTCCATTCTCCTCCTGACACTGTTGCTGTGTTTTATTGTTGTTGTTACGATGGTGTGATGATAGGATGGTATTATTACAGAGGAGCCCAGTCATTGTGTGTGGCCTTCTGACTGGTGTATTTAAATAATTCTATCATTTTGAAAATTTTTTATTTTATTGTTTAAAGTATTACAAATAGTAATATATATGTCTTCCTTTTTTCCCCATTGACCTTCCCCCGGCCTTCCCTACCCCTTGGCACATGCCCTCCCTGCCGTTCCCCCACGACGTAAAGGAAACAAACATCAGTTCAGTTCAGGCAAGGATATGAGGAAACTGGTAAGGCAAGTAACCTCTATCAGAAACAGTAACCTTTCTTCAAAACAGCACTTACCGGATTTACATTGAAAACTTTTATTTTTTTAAATATATTTATTGACTTTCCACAGAGAGGAGGAGAGAGGTATAGAGAGCTAGAAACATCAATGAGAGAGAAATATCGACCAGCTGCCTCTCGCACACCACCCCTTACCGGGGATGTGCCTGCAACCAATGTACATGCCCTTGACCAGAATCGAACCTGGGGCCCTTCAGTCCGCAGACCGATGCTCCACCACTGAGCCAAACCGGTTTCGGCATACATTGAAAACTTTTAATTGATGTATAGCATTCTGAAAATTGAGCAAAATTTGTTTGTCAATTGATCACAAAGAGAACATACCCATGTGTTTATCCTGGAGTGTCTGGTTTATTTTCTGTGTATTATGTTCGTGAGGTTCATAGATGTTACTTAGTGTAGCTTGTAGTTCATTCATTTTCATTGCTAGTATTGTATAACTGCACCTTAATTTTTAAAAAAGATTTTTATTGATTTTAGAAAGAGGAAAGGGATGGG